GGCTTGGGGTGCCGACAACACAGCAGACAGTAGCAGGGATATCAGAGTATAAGGGCTCTAGTGGGGGGAGGGAGGCTATGGGAGGGTGCTATCTGGGAAGTGGGTATAAAAATAAGTTAATTAATTTTAAAAAATCGCTTTCTAAAAACACAAAAAACAAAATCCTTCCAAGTTTTGTCAACCAATGCTTCATTTTTTTTTGTGCCAGAGCTGAAAGGACCAAGTCTGATCTCTTTTAGCCCCTGACTAGTCTTGTTTTGCTCTTTTTCTATCTATTTATTTATTTTTATTTATTTATTTTTGTCTTTTTGAGACAGGGTGTCCCTGAAGCCCCAGCTGTCCTGGATCTTACTATATAGACCAGGCTAGCCTCGATCTCACAGACATCCACGTGCCTATGTCTCCCAAGTGCTGGAATTAAAGGCATGCACTACCACACCTGACTTTGCTTTGTTTTTTCGTGGGGGGGGGCATGTTCATATGTGGGAATGCCTGTGTATGCAAGTATGTGAATGTGTGAATATTACTCATAAAACAGCCTCGGATGTGAGTCCCCAGGTGTCTCTCATGTTTTGCGTGGGGCTGGAACCTCACCAAGTCGTCTTGGCTACTTGGTCAGCATGTATCCAGGAATCCACCTATCTCATCTCACACCTCAGTATTGCTGGGATTCAGGAACATGCCACCACACCCACTTTTATTGTTGGTTCTGGGATGAAACTCAGGTCCTCATGCTTGCAAGGCAAGTGCTTTTACCAACAGAGGCATCTCCCCAGCTCTGCTTTCTTATTTAAATCTCTGTCAGCAACTAAACTGCATCTCCTGCCCAGACCAAGACAGCAGAAGCCCACCTTGTACCCATACACAATGGTCCTGAGGCAACAGAATAGGAACTATGGAGGAGGTCCCAGAGGTTAACACAGGAAAGGCAGCAGAGGGGAAAGACGGCGGTCTGTACTCCACCCAGGCTTCATTCAGCCAAGGAAGCATGCCCTGAAAAGCCCAGGTTAACTTGGGAGAGACGGATGCTATGCTAATGACCCATAAGAAATCACTGCGGATCTTGCTTAGTCCCTCTCTTCCTTCGCCCCCTTGGAGCCAGACCGCCCTTCATAAATGACCTCCTTTCCTGTGTCTATGCAATTCATGATAAAAGGGCACATGAACCAGGAAACTTGAGCACCTGCTCTCCAGACTCCTACCCACACCTGTAAGGGTCTCTTTGCTAAATGCAGTTGTCAAAGCTCAGGGTTGGAGAACTCTGGAAGGAAGCTAGGTGATCTAACACCTCTCAACCACTATGACTCCTTTTCCCATAGACCAGCTACAGTCAAAGTGACCAGTGACCAAAGTGACCGGTGACTCGCAGACACCCGGACACCCTGCCCATTCTCTCTCCTCTGCCCAGGTCATTCCTTGTCCCTTCCCTCTCTACATCATATACGCCTGTTGTCCTTTAAGACACAGATGATACTTCATGAATCTCAGAACCTCCCGAAATCCCCCAAGCACACGTGGCCCCTCTCCATGTCAACCCTTGATTGTACTCTCTGTTCTTTCTGACCTTTTGTGTTGCACCCTGAGAACATTCATGTCCAAGTTCTTGTCTAATTTCATCCCCTCGGTGTTAATTACAGCGGTCAGTGTTGAGGGCAAAACAACTGAACAGAAACCAACAGGAGAGAAAAAGAAAAAAGCAATAAATGATCACAATTCTAATGCCAGAGCCAACACAGAGGCTACTCAGGTCAGTGCGTTCATCCTCACTGAGACTCTTCTCATTTACCCTGAATCTGTCAACGGAACAACATGATTCCCTGGGGGTTACCCAGCCTCATCCCTAATTAAGCCCAGGAATGGGCATTTTTACTTCGATGGTTCATTCCAGAAATACTTATGAGCACACACCATGTGTTGGGACAGCAGCAAACCACAGGGTCTCTGCGTTCAGGGTCCCAGACGTGGCATTTTTTTAATTTTTAAATTATTTATTTATTTATTTATTTATTTATTTATTTATTTGGTCTTTTTTGAGACAGGGTCTCCCTGGAGACTCAGCTGGCCTAAAACTTGCTATGTAGACCAGGCTGGTCTTGAATTCACAGAGATCCACCTACATCTGCCTCCCAAGTGCTAAAATTAAAGAAGTGTGCCATCACGCCCAGCTATTTTATTTATTTTATGTATATGAGTGTCTTGCCTGCATGAATGTAAGTGTACCTGTGTGTGCAATGCCCACAGGGACCAGATGATGGCATTGGAACTCATGGAACTAGAGTTCTGGACAGCTGTTAGCTGTCACATGGGTGCAGAAGAACCCAGGTCCTCTACAAGAGGACCATCTCTCTAGCCTCCAGACCTGGCATTTTAACTGACAAAAATGAGCACGTAAAGAAGATGAGCAATTTCAGGGGGCTGAAGAGAGATGGCTCAGCAGTTAAGAACAATGAATGTTTTCGCAGAAGACCCAGGTTCGAATCCCAGAACCCAATGGCAGCTAACAACTGTCCATAACTCCAGTTCCAGGGGATCTGACAGCCTCTCCTGTCCTCCATGGGCATTGCGTGACATGGGTGCAGCTACCTACATGCAGGCAATACACGCATACACATGAAATAAAAAATAAAAATAAAATATTTTTAAAAAAGAAGAGCAATTTCAAACACCGAAGGATCTAGGAAGCGCTCACATACAGTGAGTTAACAGGAAGTGTTGCTGGTAAGGCCTCTCTGAACAACAGATGTGTGATACAGACCTGGATGGCACACAGACCCTGCAAAACATCTGCCAGCAGTGGAGGCCTCGCTAACATGGCCCGGGGTGGGGCATGCTCAGTGTGCTCAGGGAGGAGGGGAGCCAGCCTGCTTCAAGCAATCAGCGAGGCCTCAGCAGACAGGTGTCTTTCATTGACAAATAATAACGTATGGACGTATGAGCTCCCACCTCTTCCACTTCCCCTGTGCCTGTGCTAAGATGCGTCCCCACCAACTGCGTCCAAGACTTCCTTCTCACACCCTCACTAACATAGTTACCTTTCCATTCTTACTGGAGTCATCCACGCAGGAATGAAGTGATACCACACGGTCATCTAAATGGACATACCCTCACCATCAGTGATGCCAACATGTTTCATGAACTGTCTGCTGGTTTTGTATGTCGTCTTCTGAGGAATGTTTTATGCAGGTCCCTTGCCTATTTGGTGACAGGGCTCTGTGTTTTTATTATGGAGTGTGAGCTCCTGACTGACCTGGATATGATGAATCCCTCAATAACACATTTTGCAAATATTTTCTCTCAACCTTTGAGCGTCTCTTGCTCAGTTACTCCCTTTGTTGTATGAAGCCTTTTAGTGTACTGGGTCTCTATTTGCTTCTTTCTTTCTTTCTTTCTTTCTTTCTTTCTTTCTTTCTTTCTTTCTTTCTTTCTTTCTTTCTTTCCTTCCTTCCTTCCTTCCTTCCTTCCTTCCTCCCTCCCTCCCTTCCTTTCTTTCATGTATGCAACCTTTTAGTTTGATGGGACTCTACTTGGGTTTTTTCTCATTACCTATATGCCAGACACCGTTGCCCAGACAAACAACTTGTAGCTCTTCCTCTCTCTTCCAGGTCTTATACCTGCATCTTAATCCACCTGGAGCTGATTCTTATACACTGGGTAAAAATAATGCCTCAATTTCATTCTCTTTCATGTGGATACCACTTCCCCTACACAATTTATTAAAGGCATTGTCCTCCCCCTTGTGTGTCCTTGGCCTCTTTGTCAAAAAGCAATTGATTGACCATGTATGGATGTATTCTGGGCTCTGCTCCATTTCAGTGGTCAATGGGTCTGCTTACAAGCCAGAACCATGCTGTGTTAGGCACTGTTGCTTTGCAATATAATCTTAAGTCAGGAAGATTAATGTCTCCTGCTTTGGTTTCTCCTGTTTGGCTGTGTGGGATCTTTTAGGTCCATATGACTTTTAGGATTTCCTTGTATCTGTGGAGAATGGCACTGGAATTTTGATAGAGATTACGTTAAATCTGTAGATCACTGTGGGTTGTGTGGACATTTTAACAATCCTGAGTCTTCTAACCCACATCCGTAAGACATCTTTGCGTGTTATCTTTACTTTCTTTCATCAGTGTTTTGTAGTCTTAGGACTTAAGTCACTTACCTACTTGAGTGAGCTGATTCCTCAGTTCCAGTAGTTTCTACAGACTCTATATGACTCTGGTTTCTGTCTACTCTCACCATGTTTTTCCTATCCCTTTTCCTCTTTTGTGATTCTGGGAAGCACAGGTACACATGTTAGCAAGAACTCTACCACTGACTGAGTCACCCCCAGCCCGGTCTCGTCACCTGCATTCACACACTGCTAGCAGCCCAGCCAAAACAACTAGGCAAGAAAAAGAAATGGAAGACATCTAAACAAGAGAGAAGCAAAATAGTCTGTACTTGCAGACTACCTGAGTGTATGTCTTTAAAGGGTAGGGATTCAGGGCAGGAGAGATGGTTCAGTGGTTAAGAGCACTGGCTGCTCTTGCAGAAGACGCAGGGCTGGGGGATGTTGGTTCCCAGCAGGGACATTGCAGCTAACAAGTTTTGGGGGCTCCTATGCCCTGTTTTGGTATACCCATGTTGTGCATGGGCATTGCACAACATGGGTGTACTTACATACACGCATGCAAAACACTCATACACATAAAATAAAAATAAACTAATTAAAAGTCCTTATAGACTCCACAAAAACACATTAGAACTGATAAAGTTTCAAGGTACAAAGTCAAGTCACAAAACACAGTGGCATTTCTCTATGCTACCAAGGTTCTGTCTAAAAAGCAAATCAGGAACGTGTCTTGAGGTGGGAAGGGGAGCCTTACTTTCTTGGTGTTGAATAAAACTTGTCACAATATTAAAGCACGTAGACTCCCTCCTCAGGGAGCACACGTAAAACTCTCTGAGACACTCAAAGGAATGAATTAAAAAGGCAGGAGATTAAGAGAGAAGGAAACTGTACTTACCATAGGAAATAGCACGTACTCTCGGAGGAATTCTTGGGAATCAAACTGGTTATAGTCTCCAAAATCAGCTGAGGAGAAAAGGCGGGGAAACAGCAGCAGTTATTTCATGGAACAAAAGACAGAATGAAAAATGGCAACTTTCCTCACGTGCATTTGTCCATTCCATCCTAGTTCTGCGGCCTCACTAAACAGATACAGGACCAGCTATATCTGATGATGCCATCACCTTTACCTAGCAACTGTAGCTATAACGTATGAGCTACACCATTTTCTAGAAAAAAAGGGGAAATCTGGAATGGTTATTTAAAGATTTTAAAACAAATCTGTGTTTCTTTTTGACTGTGCACCAGATTATACCTCCAGTGTATCTGCCAAGAGGACTTTCTAGGTCAAGGTTAACATGGAGAACCTCAGCTGGAAACATATCTGCAGGGGAAACTCCCCCTGTAAATCACCCTTGGCAAACAACCTCGAAAATCTTCACACTTCCTGCAAACTCACCTGTTATAAGATGTCAGGAATTGGGTTCTGCCCTGTTTCACCCCACAGTGGTATGTTGGGGCAGGCGCAAGCTGAGTCCATGGAGCCCAAGTCACAGCACACAAACAACCTGCTCTTCTCTCCCTGTGTTCACAAATACCAACCCCACACAGAACTCTGACTTGATGGAAAAGATTTCTCATGTAATAGCAATATATGCAGAGGAGAGGACACATCTGCACATACGCAAGTGCCACATGAAGGAGCTGCAGAGACAGAGGATCCCCCTGCAAAATGGGGCGTACAACTGTCACTCAGTCGGGTGAGGCACCCACAGCAGAAAGACGGCTCACTGCTCAATCACGTTCTCTCCTATCAGCTTTCCTACTTCTGTGGGTGTGTCTTTCAAGTAGCCCAATATGGGTTGTTAAGAAAATGAGTGTGTGTGGGGGGGGTGTGCATACACTCGCCTAGACAGGCACACATGGAGGTAAGAGGTTGACCTCTGCCGTATTCCTCAATTGCTTCTCCAACCTAATTTTTTTTTTTTTTGGTCTTTTTAAGACAGGGTCTCCCTGTAGCCTCAGCTGGCCTGGCACTCACTATGTAGACTAGACTGGCCTTGAGCTTACAGATATCCACATGCCTCTGCCTCCCAAGTGCTGGGATTAGAGGCCTACACCACCACACCCAGCTCCAACCTAATATTTTGAGACAGGGTCTCTCACTGAACCTGCAGCTGGCTGTCTGGGCTAAGCTGGCTGGCCAGTTAGCCCTTAGGATCCCTCCTGTCTCTGCCCCCCATGCTGGGGTTACAGGCATGCACAGACATACTGGCTTTTGCACGGGTTCTTGGGTCTGAATTCAGGTCCTCATGCTTACATAGCAAGCACTTTACCCACTGCACCATCTCCCCAGCCAGGGAAAATGATGCTTTAAACATCATGTAGTTAAAGGACATTTCATCAAGCAGGCAGACAGCTTGCTTCAAGGACCCAATAAAAAGGGAATCCAGAGGAAGCCACGGCAACGTCCTCCAGGATGAATGAGCGGTGCCAGAGGAAAAGACAACAGCAAACAGAAGAAAAGCTTCGTAAAGAAGAGGGGCACAATCTGAAGCTGAGACACACTGGGCTCCCTCGGTTCTCTGCACAAAGCCACCACTGCTGTCCCCATCACAGCTGGCCGCCACTTCTTCCCAGTCCTTGGGTGGACAGATGGGCTGCAATATATTTGGGGTACTTCCACCCACACAGTGACAACAAGAACCACACCACTAAAGAAAGCTGCACAGAGGCGGTCAGGGGAAGCCACCTCTAGACACTCAGACAGCAAAGGATTCCACTTCAGTCCAAGTGTGGGATGGGAGGCTCCATTCACTGCTTCTAAATCAGCAAAAGCTCCGTAGCTGGCTCACCTGACGTTAGCTTGATTTTCAAGAAAGTCAGGACAGAAAGGGAAATCAGTTTCCTTTCAAAGACCAGGCACTCTCATCTTAGTTTAATATGAGTGAATGTAATTGAAACCACTTAAAAATAAAGAATATATGTACAGATACATACATACATATACACACATAAAGGAGCACAGGTGTAGAGAACAGAAACAGCTGTCTGATAAATCTGAACAGAACAGAAAGACAACTTTAACCCAATATGTGTTTCTTGTTACACGTTTCCATTGTGGACCTACTTTTCTCTCAAACTCTTACAATAAATTATACAGTAAGAGTTAAAGCTATTGTACTCAAAGCCCAACAGTAACTCATTCTCAACACCAGCTACAGAATCTGACCACATTGAGCAGTGGAATAATTCCGAGACAATGTCCCCCACACTTGGAAATGCAGCTTTCATTAAAGACAGGATTTACAAACGGCTATCTCGCTCTTCCAGGAGGCCACTCAAGGTGACCTATGAAAATGGTTCATTAACTCTCTTGACCCAGAAAACCCTACAAAATCAAGCAAATCAAGAGGTTCCAATCTTGGTGTTCACTTTAAGAACACACGTGAAACTGCCCAGGCCATCAAGGGTATGCATATCCGAAAACCCACCAAGTATCTGAAAGATGTCACTTTAAAGAGCAGTGTGTGCCATTCCGGTGTTAAACAGTGGAGTTGGTAGGTGTGCCCAGGCCAGACAGTGGGGCTGGACACAAGGTCAGTGGCCCAAAAAGAGTGCTGAATTTTTGCTGCACATGCTTAAAAATGCAGAGAGTAATGCTGAACTTAAGGGTTTAGTCTACACTCTCTGGTCACTGAGCACATCCAGGTGAACAAATCGCCCAAGATGCGCCACAGAACTTACAGAGCTCATGGTCACATTAACCCATCCATGAGCTCCCCCTGCCACATCGAGATGATCCTCACTGAAAAGGAACAAATTGTTTCTAAGCCTGAAGAGGAAGTTGCACAAAAGAAAAAGACATCCCAGAAGAAACTGAAGAAACAAAATCTTACGGCCCGAGAATAAATTGAGCATAAAATAAATGCGGGTAAAAGTTAAAAACAAACAAACAAAAAACCCTGCCATGTCTTCAATTAGAACTGTAATTTTACAGTCGTGATATAAGCAGCTTTGAGAAACCCACCCTCTGCTACCCCCAAATCAGTAGCTTTTCATCTTAGTGAAAACATCCTAAAATGATAAGGGAGCCTCAGTGAGGGATCACTGAAGTGAATCTGACTTCTTGCTTGGAGAGACCAACATGCAATAGAAGATGGAACGTCACATAATGTCTCACCTTGCACTGCCAAGCCAGCCAGCCGGATCACTTGTTCCAGCGTGCACCGTAGCCGTCCCTCGAGCACATCTTTTTTGACTTGCAGGTAGTACTGATACCTGTCATGGGGAGAGAGATACAACTTTAGAAATACACCCTGGAACACTTCTCGCAATAAAGGTATCTCCAGGGGGAAGTCCTCTGTGCTCAGCACGATGCACAGGTGACACCGGCAGAGGTCATCTCTATGCAGGATGGACAGTGACCTCTGTCTGTGTCTGTGATGCAGCAGGGGCTGCAGTCAGCTCATGGAAAGAGAGAGAACATTCTTCTCAAATCATTTGCTTGTGGGACAGCAGGACGAACTACTGACAAGGACTCGTTCTTCAGAACAGAGACCAACAATTTAAAGTCTCTTCCACATTTAGACTCCCAGAGCAACACTGAACAGTTCCAGCTTGTGATGACCAGTGGTAATGCTCAACTTGACAAAATCCAGACTCACCTGGGAGATGTACATGGGGGTTGATGATCTTGATCATACTAATTGGGGTACAAAGACCCACCCAAGGTGGGTGGTGCCATTCCCTAGGCAGAAGACCTCACACTGTGTAAGACTGTAGAAGGCCAGCTGAGTCCAGCACACACAGTCACTGCTCTCTTCTGACTAAGGCATACTGTTACCAGCTTCCTCAAGCTCCTGCTGCCTCGGTTTCCCCACCATGATGGACTGTGACTAAACTATGAGTTGAAACAAACCCTTCCTCCATTAAGTTGCTTATGTTAGAGTATTTTACCATAGCAACAAGAAACAAAATTAAGACACTGCTCTTGAATAAATTCCAGACATACACTATCTTTTAAATACAGAATTTTAGGTCTGAAGAAATGATTCAAAAGTTAGGAGCATTTGCTGCTCTTGAAGAGGACCCGAGTTCAGTTCCCAGCACATTTACCAGGTAGCTGGCTCATAACAATCTGTAACTACAGTTCCAAGAGATGTGACACCTTCTTCTGGCTTCGTTAAATACCTGCAAACATGTGGCCTTCACTCACACAGACATGCACATAAATAAAAATAATAAATATAAATCTTTTTAAAAGTTATAAAAGCGAAAGTATGGTAGAGCAGACCACAAAGGGGTCAAATACTCTGGAATTCTGTCAAAGCCTTCTCAGGGCCCGGCTTCACCTCACACGTCTGTGACATAGAAAAAAGCAGTTGATTTCTTCCAACCTGGAGTACGTTTCCCAACCAGCGAAGTATGGACAGACGGAATACGCCCCCACAGACATCAAGCCTAAGAGCAGATGGTAAAGCAGTGCACTGTTCCCGTCAACAAACCACACTCTTAGAAGGACCCAGCTGATCAGGAATCTCCCTCCCGTTGTCATCTGCTTCCGAGACTCCACTTCCCCAACCATTCCCTTACAGTCCCCTCTCCAACCAGACTATACTGGCACTGCTGTCTGTGGACACTGGCAGCCCTATTGCTCCTGGTAACCATTACTCTAGATTCTAAGTTAACTTTGACATCTCATACCAGGGAACCCAAAGATTACCCAAAGCCCAGTGCCCCTAGAGACAAGCAAGGTAGGAGCGAATTACGGCCGAATCCACCTGCAGTATCACAGATGTCCTGACACATTGGTCTAGGCACTAGTGAGGGAAAGACTTGGGCTCTCGGCCCTCTCCAGCCCAGCCCTCCTGGGTCTATCCAGCAGGGTAAAGACAACCAGGTTAGTCTTTGGAGGGAAAAACCAAGACTTAGACCTAAAGAACAAACAATGGGAGCTATTTTTAAATCCTTTCCAATAAAACTCAACATGCGATAGGAAATCAACCTTTGTTTCCTACTCCTATCCAATCTTTCACCTGGTAAATTCATAATTTTACAGGTTTCATTATTCAATGAAGAATTTTGTCTCCTGCCCATATGATCAATGAATGGTCTCCACTGAGTTTTGGAGATGAGCTCCTGATATGTGCAGAAAGCCTTTTCGCCCACCTGTCCAAGCTGCGGCCACGCTCCACCCTGAGCTCAGTGAACACTGCTCAGTCCTTAACTTGGCACCATCTCCACAGAGTCCTGATTCCTCTCATCACCCAGGTCCCAGCACACAGGAAAGGAGTTAAACATAGGAACCTGTTGTCAAACCCTTTTGCTGGTAATGAAAAGCCAGTCCATCATTCTGAAGGTTCTCAAACTAACAGGGAGGGTACCAAAACCCAAGACACGTGTACACGTGTGTGTGTGTGTGTGTGTGTGTGTGTGTGTGTGGTGTGTGTGACAGACTGACAGAGACATTCACATACACAGAGACAGAAAGAAACAGCAGAGAGAGAGGAGGGAGACAGGCTTTCTTTCTTTCTTTTTTTTTTTTTTTTTTTTTTTTTTTTTTTTGTCTTTTTGAGACAGGGTCTCCCTACAGCCCCAGCTGGAACTCACTATGTAGACCAGGCTGGCCTCAGACTCACAGAGATCCCCCTGCCCCTGCTTCCTAAGGGCTGGAATTAAAGGCATGTATCACCACACCCAGCAAGAGAGACTTTCAGGAAAGTCATGACCTGTCCCTTCGTTCTTCATGGAGAGAATTCAAGCAAATAAAAATGTTGAAGCAGAAGTTTTATGTGAATTTTAAGAGTCTTTACAAGAGTAAATAAAATATCTAGCACTAAGCATCCCGAACGGTCACAGTAAAGCTTGCTTCACCGTCACACCTTCTACCTTCCTGTTCAGTCAGGTCCCCAATTTGTATATTTTCCAATGTTTCTCCCAGAGTGAATTAAAGAGTGATCCTGCAGAGTCCTGTGGTCCATGTGCCTGTCCATGTATGTCCCTCCTGAGAGTAAGACTGCCCAGGCTACAGTCACAGACCCCGGGTTCCTCAGTTCCCCTCTGCACACCAGGAACTCCAATGAAATATTTTGCACTGTCCACTTGGTTTGGGATGAGCATTCATCCTTCTCAATCACATGCAAAGCCTTTATAGCCTTTTCTTAAAAAAATAAAATATTCATATTTAAAAGCTAACACTAGGGGCAGGAGAGATGGTTCAGTGGTTAAGAGCACTGGCTGTTCTTGCAGAGGACCTGGGTTCAGTTCCCAGCACTCACATGACAGCTAACAACCATCAGAAACTCCAATTTCAGCAGATCTGATGCCCTCTTCTAGTCTCCAAGGGCACTGTACACACATGGTACACTTATATACATGCCAGAAAAACACTCGTACACATAAAATAAAAAATAAACAAAAAACAAAAACTAGCACTAGATGTGGTTCCAGTGCTCAAGAGGCCGGGACAGGAGAATCACAGATTCAAAGTCAGCCTGGCTATAAAGTGAGATCCAGTCTCAAAACAAAACAACACAACAGCTTATTAAGGACACAGGATTGGTCTGACGAGGAAGGGAGAACATCAGCTCTGGGAGGCTGTTCTCAAGCCACAGAGCATACTGCGAGACCCTCCTGTGTGCTACACCCGCCCTTTGAGGTTTTGTGCTCTGTGTCCCCTGACATCTTACTGCTTCCCTGGGCCAGTTTTTGAGGGAGCAGATCCTCACTCTCTCCGGGTAACCTTCTCTTCAAGAGACTCTGAGAAGTGCTGGGAGTCTTTTGTGGATGAGCTTTCATCTTTGTAACCCCCGGTCAGTTCTCAGACAGGCGAAACCGAGACAGTAAGAGGGTCCTTAAGTTATCAAAACCTCTTTTAAGTGCCAAGAGCTCATTGTGAAAGCAGATACATCTTTGAAGACGAGCCACTTCGAGTCTGAAGATCCTACTCTCAAAACTCAAAGAACAAGAACAGAGTGAGAAGTGATGGCTTCGTCCTGGTGCCAGAGGCCCCGCTGCATCTCTCGCCACTGGTGTTAAAGGACATCAAAAACAAACAACAAAGAACCCGAAAGCACACTCTCAGGACAGAGGTGTCTTCAAGCTAATTAAGATAAGCTACAGTGAGATTCTCAAGACCAACCAACCCAGAAAACAAAACAAACCACAGACAATGAGGCTGATCTTCATGGCCGAATCCCTCCTGTGTGGTATTCATTTCCCCCTATCTGGGACGGTTTCCACCTATTCCCTGCCTCTCAAGTCACAGGGACAAATGGTATTAACTTATGGAGAACTTCCTGGAAACACATGCAAAGCATGTTGTCATCCCGGGGAGAACTGTGCCTTACAGGGACACACACACGTGGCCCCTGCCACCTTGTCTTCTTCCCTGTGCTATCTGATGGCTCGGTGTCTGAAAACCTAGGAGGAGACATCAGGATGTTTTTGCCTCATCTGCCGGAGCGTGAGCCTTTTTGCATGCCACCCTGGAAGCGAGAATGATCAGCATGTTCTTTTGGGATGGCACAAGCACCAAGGAACCCACCAGTCTTGCAAAACAAGACTTTTTCTTAGCCCGATGCATTTAATGTTCATCTATGATATATGTCAAGTTGCTGTTTTGGGGACAGGGTCTCACGTAGCCTAGGATGGCTTCAAACTTCCTATGTAGCAAAGGATAACCTTGAACTCCTGATCCTCCTGTCTCTATATCCTGAAAGCTGGAGTTGAAGAAATGAGCCATCACACCCAGTTTATGTCATGCTAGGAATCAAACCCAGGGTTTCGTGCACGCTAGGCAAAGACTCCACCACTGAGCTCCACCTCCAGCCCACATATATGGCAAGTCCTATTACAGATCATTCTTTGCCAGGAAACAGTAACTCCATCCTGACAGCAAGGAGCACTGGAACGTTCCTCACAACACAGGCTGGTATAGGCTTCTGTAAGATACAGAAGTGTAGGGCTGAATGCTGGAACTGTGAGACTGTGCAGACTTGTAAGGGCCTCTGAGCAGCCATAATGATGTGTGCTTTCCCCACAGGAGACCGTGGCTGCCACTACAGGAAGGGTGCAGAAACAAGAGTGGAATTTGAACTACTCTGGAAATTATTTGGTTGTTAATAATTCCACAGAAAGCATATTTGTAAAATATTTTTTAAGTGGTATCCTGTAGGAAGACTGGGTTAGAGAACAGGAGCTGGAATTCTATTTTTAGAATGCTTGGGTTCCGCTCAATTTTGATTAGAGTCGATTGTAACTGCACTAAAGTAAAAATG